TTATTGCAATGGTGGTTTCAAACACTCTGATGAAATACACAAGCCTGGACCACAACATAGAAGGCGTCTTAAGAAAACATCTAAAACTATCAGGTAAAAGGCTCAAAAATTTATACTGAGATTTTATAGAGTTAATTTGATGAAATGAACTTTTTGGTGATTAAAGAAATAAGTTATAATAAAGTAATTTAAATCTATTTTTTGATGTAACAAAATGAAATTTTTAATATTATTATAGGTGAAATATATTTTTGATTTGGTTTCGATTTAAATAATTTCGGTTCGAGTTCAAGCAAAAATAACAGTGATCGGATTGATTTTAGTTGAATTATCAAGAAATATGCTTTAGAAGCTTTTTATTAACATGATTGCATTTTGTTTCCAAACAAGCCAATGTACAATATTTACTTTGACAGTTATGGCGTTTATATATGTAGTAATCGGAATCATGATATTGTTTCAGATAGAACATACTCTACAAGCTGTTGATGAAGATTTCGAAATTGTTCCAGATTTCGTAGAATTATTTGTACGTGCAACTCTAACAAATATTTAAAAAAGGCATTTCATATAATCATTATTAAAACGTGTGATTTCTTTAAAATCTTTTTTAATGAAGCAGAGAAAAATCTTAAATACTAGATACTGATTAAATTCATTAGGAATCTTCTGTTTTAGAATGACTACGGGAAAATATCCGACCCATTATATTATTGCTACCATTGCAAGGTATCTACTCCAGAAAAAAACTCGTGGAAGCACTTGCCACGTGCCAATTACATCAACAAAACACTATAGGTTGTCATAGAACATCCCAATGTATCAAAGTCATCCTTGAAAGTAATAAATATTTTTCTTGCATTTATTTTAATTTATTCAGTTTGGTGGAATAAATATAATTTCTTTTTAGAACCAAATAATTACACTATATATAGAACCTGCATTCCTGGTGATATAACTTGTGCACATTGGAGGAAAGATTTGTACACAGAAGGTTCCAATTTTACTTGTAGCACATGTAAAGGCATTTTATGTAATCAGGCAATGTCCTTCGGCACTTATAATGGAATTGTCACTTCTTTAGCAATATTGTTTACTTCATTTGCGTAATTCAATTATTTATTATTTATTATTAAAAATTGTTTAATAAAATGATCAATATTGACTTTTATTATATGATTTTTAATGTGTATTTAACTAGGTATGAATTTTTGTTAATTTTAGCTTGAAAATTAATTTATTACTATTAAATTATTTTATTTTGGTATATTGGCGTAATAAATTAGTTCTATTACTTTCTGGAATTGTTTAAAGAATGCGTAAAAACAAAATTGCTAATTACATTGATAGCTTTTTTAATTGCCTTATTTGACAAATCTTGAATAAATGAAAATTGTTTTTGTCGGACATTTGTTTTCTGATTAGGCATATTTAAATTTACCATAAACAAGTAAGAGTGTACGTTTCATGAAAGTTGACAAGAAACAGCAAAAAATATTCCTGGCAAGAAAATTTGTCAAAAAAACTAAATGTTAAAACGACTGTTTATTTGGGATTGTAATGCAATACGATTTGCATTCACAAAATTGCTTCCGTATTTAAATGACATTACACATTATCAAATTTAATGTGTACCCGAATCAGTCTAGATTTTTCGCGCGATCGAGTTAGTTTTGAAATCAAAACAGTGCGATTGTTTTTGAATACATTCGAAATGTGAAACTATGGTAAATGTGTTTTTACTTCTATCCAAGATTAATATATTAATCATATTATTGAGACTTGTAATGACCGCTGAGGGACAGGTAAGTGTGATGCCTCTACGGACCAAATGTCTATTACCTGTCACATTAATAATTTGACAATTCAATTTGCAGTCGTTCCCATATCGTTTGTGTTATCGTTGTGCAACAACGTCAGAATATGACATCGTTTCCGAGTGCTCTAGCCCGACCACGAGGCATTTGTTGGCCTGCAGTCGAGACGCCTCTTGTATATCTGTCAAAGTGGTCAGTGAGTACCTATTTTTACCTTTATTGATGTACATGTATTCAGATTAATTGTAAGACATAGAATTTTGCTTTAGGCTATGCAAATGATTAATTGATTAGTGCATTTATTGTTATATGCGTGCCAAAATGTTAATTATGTTGCATGTGACAAACTGGGAAGAGCATGCCACACATTCCTTCACTTTTATCTCATAACTTGGATCATTGGCTCATAACTTGTATTTTAGAATTATTCAAGTGGTTCATTTAATATGTTCATATAAGGTTTACATTGAAACAAAACTAGGTGTAGGTGGCACTTTGCCTTAAGGAAAGTTGATGTTCTCGATATGTGTAAATAATTCAACTGCACGTCCACAATTAAACCACTTTAATGTACTGTAATATTTTAGGATGTTCATTGAACCATTTATCAACGAAACTAGTGGGGCGCATGGCATCGTGCCTTAAGGCAAATTGCTGGAACTTCCCGTACCAAATATTATTTTTTTAAAAGATTAACATTTTTGAAAAAAATTTACTCTGAAAAATTAGATTCTTGAGAAACTATAAATTTTTGACAAAAATTTACTTTTTTTTGAAAAAAACACTTTTTGAAGAAAAGTGTATTTTGAAATATTTTGGAAATTTTAAACTTTTTCAGAGCAATCGAAAAATATATATAGAGACGAACTATCGAAGCGCTTAAGCGCCGCGCCGCCATCTAACGGATAAGCATTGGTTCGGAAAATATCTGATAATTTGATGTGCATATGTCTAATGATCATTTTTGACCGCCAAATGGCATTTTTTTTTTTATTTTTTTACTAGATCTCCGAAACCGCTAGACCTGCCTTCATTAAAATTTGATCAGATCTTCATCTTGTTAATACAAGTGAAATGTTTTTTGAATTATTCAAATCGGACGCTCCGTTCTTTTAAAAACTGAGTTACCGTTTTTGGCACTTTTTGCCCCATATCTCCGGAACGACTAGACCTGCCTTTGCCCAAAACTAATCAGCACGACTCCTTATCAATACGAATCGAATGTTTTTTGAATTATTCAAATCGCTTCATCCGTGTTCCCGAAATCGTCGACGAAAATTTAAAAAAATAACTTAAATGTTCAAAATTGGTTCAATACTTACATTAATTTTTTCCCTCCTTTTTGTTAATTTTAATGAAATGGCTCTGCCAAAACAACAGGAGTTCTTGTCGAGTTTCATCAAATGACTTTAAAATTTTTGAAAACAGTGGGTTTGTTTTTGAAAATAAAACGTCTACGACGTGTAAAATTTTGGCTACTCATATGCACACACAATTTCTTCTTCCAAAGCGATTTGGAATGACTTGAAACATTAATAAAACGTAAAATCAGTAAATAGGAGATTCTGACAAATTTATAATTTTTGGGAAGTTAATATTTATAAAATCTCCTGCTAATAATAATTTAATTTTGTATTTTATATTATTGCTTAAAATTGTGTTATAAAAATTATATCTTTTATTTACGCCATGTTTTCAATTTTTAGATCTAAAGTGACTATTTTAGAGCTCATCTATTACGACGACTTGGAAAATCTTCTAAACAAAAAACCAAGGAAAATAATTAATTTGGGCATGCTCTTTCAGTTTGTTTGCAATGTGTCATGGCAAAGATGTGTTTCTATCTTTACACATTATTTTATTTAACAATAAGTATTTCTTTGTGAAATAGACATTTTTGGTTTAACCTTTTCGACTCGGTTGTCGCCACTCCGGTAATAATAAGTACAATGTATAGTATAATGTAAAGTATAATGATAAGTAGTATCGGTGGTAAAATAAGTACTAATTTCGGAATTAGCGAGTGGAAAGGGTTAAAAGTATTCCAGTAAACGGGCTTATTTTGGGACAACTATAAAAATATTTATTTTGATTAATATTTATTTATTTAATTAATAATTTTATATTGCTCTATCAGCGGAGTTGCGGAAATGAATATTTTCATTTTTGGTTTAAATTCAAATAAATCTAATCTAAGTGTCAAAACTTATCGCTTTTTTACTGGATTCTGGTTACGAATGTAATACAATTTAGATATTGGTTATTTATCTGAATACATTTATATCAGAATATATTACAAAATATTGAAATTATGCTAAAGTCGGTATAATATTTCAGAAAAAGGAAATTATACACAATGGCTCGGATGTGATCAGTCAGGCTTAACGTGCATGGATTACGAGGAGCATTTCTCGTCCGGTGGCTTCGACGTGACATGTTCCATGTGCGTGGACGACATGTGTAATGGCACCTCAACGATATCACACGCAGTCTTGTTAATTCTGTTAATTAACTGTTATATTGTGAGAATTATTTTTTTATGAAAACTCTTTTTCATTTAATTCTTTTAAAAAATTAACAAGATGCGAATGAAGTTTTATATTGTTTTCTATGTGAACGCTTCAAAAGGTCCATTTTTTCGGAATTTAGGCTGGTAAGATACGCATGATTGTAGATAATTATTATGTATATAATATATAACAGTGATCGCTCATATTTAATTAATATTATTGTAATTGGATTTATCACTTACCCTAAAAATTGATAATGCTGCTATTGTTAAGTTTTACAACAGGTAGTCCTTTAGTTTCATTGAAATTTTTAGACATTTTGGTTAATTTTTAGGCATTAAGTCTCAGACAATACTACTCAACAGTTGCATGATCAATTTTGCTCTCTAAAATAAGATCACTGGATGTTTATGAAGAAATCGCTAATTATAAGCTTATTTGCCATTTTTTAACCCTCACTTCTTGAAGCTTCTTGTTCAATGGGCTTGGATTTTAAATCTTCATCTTTCGATTTAAGCAATTTCTGAATTTAAGAATTCAATTCAAGCTAAAACATCTATCGCGGCAAAATCGGCTTAAGTCTTCGATGATTTCATTCAACATTGTAAAAGAAAGCTTTTGTATTTTCATTAGTCCATTTGGCAGCGTTTATAAAGATATTTTATAAAGGATATCGTGAATAAAGAAATTTTTAGCCGAGTATATAGGATTTGGATCGATTTTTTAATCCCATAATACGCGAATTGAATGAAGCCCCAATAAGGAACTTCTACTTTATATGTATTACTCCAGTTCGTAATAATACTTGGGCAAACTTAGTTATCATTAATAATATACTTTATCATTATTATTATTTCAAGCAATAATAATAATAAATAAGTTTCATATTGAGGCTACATTTCATCATAAACAGAAATATTTTTTATCATTGATAAAATTGATCAATGAACGATATTTTACCATCATAATACAACGTTGTGCGATGTAGTACTAACAGAGAATGTGATTGTACTATCATAGTACAAACGTAGTAGTAAGTTGTAGTGTAGTACGATGTAGTATTATCAGTGAACGTGATTGTACTATCATAGTACGACGTAGAAGTAAGTAGTAGTCGTAGTACGATGTAGTTTTTCAATGAACGCGAGTTTACTATCATAGTATGACATAGTAAATCGTAGTACGATGTGTATTACAATGAACATGATTGTATTATCATAGTACGACGTAGTAAGTCGTAGTACGATGTAGTATTACAATGAACGTGATTGTACTATCATAGTACGACGTAGTAAGTCGTAGTACGATGTAGTATTTCAATGAACATGATTGTACTATCATAGTAACGTAGTGAGTTGTTGTACGATGTAGTGTTATTAATGGACGTGATTGTACTATTATAGTACGACGTAGTAAGTCGTAGTAAGATGTAGTATTATCAATGGACGTGATTGTACTATCATAGTACGACGTAGTAAATCGTAGTACGATGTAGTATAATCAATGGACGTGATTGTAGTATTATAGTACGACGCGTAGTAAATGTAGTACGATGTAGTATTATCAATCGTAGTACAATCATGTTATTGTAATACTACATCGTACTACGATTTTATGTGTACTATGATAGTCAATCACGTCCATTGATAATACTATATCGTACTAATAGCATGATATAGTATTATCAATTTACGTGATTGTACTATCATAGTACGACGTAAGTTCGCATAGTATGTATGTAGTATACAATGAAGCGATTGTTGAATTATCATAGTATGACGTAGTAAGTCGTAGTACGATGTAGTATTATCAATTGACGTCGTGACTGTACTACCATAGTACGACGTAGAGTACGATGTAGTATTATCAATGATGTGATTGTACTATCGTAGTAAGTCGTAGTACTATTAATATAGTATTATCAAGAACATGATTGTACTATCTTAGAATGGCGTAAAAAATCGTAGTACGATGTAGTATTGCCAATGGACGTGTTTGTACTATCATAGTACGAGTAGTTATATCATCATTTCTAAGGTCCCCAAACGAATTTAATACAGGGCCCTGCCAAGGCACGATATTGCATTAGAAATTTTACCAATATTTTCTGAATCTGAAGAAAAATTTTTAACTGTTCTTGACACTTTTCTAATTGTATTTGATACTTTTTAACTTGTAAATAATACCTTGTTTTTCTTCACATCGATTCATTGACATGCTCGAATAGTTTAGGGTAAAAATATAACATACTTATATGGACGTACACATCAATGTACATAGTTTAACACATTTACTCTGCTGCGCACCCATATAGTGCGTGAGACCGTTGTTTTTAGTAATGTGTTTTAATTGAAATATTGTACTGTAGTTACTTCAAACAGAAATAGTCCTTTTATCCTATTCGGGTGCAATTTTTTTAAATTGACATCTAATATGTCCAGAAATGGGTTCATGGTGACCATATATGGTCACCAGACGTATACGTCCCGGTTTGTCCGGGATAGTCCCGGATTTTAACCTTGTGTCCCGCGTTTTTCTGAAAGCAATCTTGGTCCTCGATTTAGATGTTCTGTCCCGGATAGTCCCGAATTTCCAAAATGTCTAGGTTTAAATTGAGTATTTTCAGTTAGGGGCCGTTCAAGTATTACGTAAAACGCGGGGCCGGGGGGTTGTTGATTTGCTTATT